TTATGTATATTCGTAAATACCAAATCATCAATTTTGAAAGGGAAAAAAAGCTCCCAAGTCAGCGAACAATTGACTTTGATAGGTTAATTTAAAAATGCAATGTGAAAATATCAACATATTCAATTATTTACTCACCATATCCAACAAATTTGATGGGAATATTCTTTTTCCAATTTTGATTATTTGGGTTGAGTTTGTGTATATTCGTAAATACCAAATCATCAATTTTGAAAGGGAAAAAAAGCTCCCAAGTCAGCGAACAATTGACTTTGATAGGTTAATTTAAAAATGCAATGTGAAAATATCAACATATTCAATTATTTACTCACCATATCCAACAAATTTGATGGGAATATTCTTTTTCCAATTTTGATTATTTGGGTTGAGTTTGCAATATTGAGATTTTGGGATGGGTTTTGCAATTGTGCATGATGTTGAATAGTTTTGCAAATATATGCATATTCCTATTTGCAAATATGCAAATATTAAGGGGGTCCAACGCCCCTTTGGACCTTAGCTAGCTCCACCCATGCATTTAGCTTTACTCAGTGATGAGAGCTATTTGTGAGAAAATGTTGTTTGTGCAAATATCAAACCACATAAGTGCTACATATTATTTAAGTTAAGCGTACAAGCTCACATAATAGTTTTTCTGGTTAGCATTTGTAGTGCAGAAAAAAAATTATTCAGTTGTAGACTTTTATTTTATAAGAGCAATATTGTGCACCTTCAGTCAGCCCATTATAACAAATAGATACTTGTGATTTTCTCTGCAAACTATCCAAATATTTGAAACTTAGGAGTAAATGAAGCTAAATCAGTTCTTGTGAAGACTGCGTTTCTGCAACAACCTGTATAGAAACTAGTTGAAGCAGGTCGAAAAATCTACAATAACTTTATCAAAGTGAAACTGAAATCATGTATATCCACATCAATGAACCATATCAAGATCCATAATATAGAGAGTGACAAGTAAGTGATTCAAACAATCATGAACAATATATTTCCATATAAGAATGACAAAAATCAATGGTTGACACTGGTCATGACAAGATCCAATATATTTCCATAAAATTGACATTCTAAAGAGATTTAGAATTGCTGGATTTTGACAGTGGAGGCTGATATCACATCCATGGCTCAGCATATATTGATGGAGACAAACCTCTGGTCTTTGAATTTGGTGGCCACAAGGAAAACCCCTTTTCCTCTCATTTCCTTTCCTCATTCTTTTCTAGCAGAAGGCAGCCAAAATATCATTCTAAAATTTATAGAATATCTCATCGTTTGCACATTTTTAATTTTCGTCTGATAACTCACTCATCTTCGTATGCAGGTGGTTGATCTGGCAACTCTAACCGGTGCTTGTATAGTAGCCCTAGGGCCGAGTATTGCAGGTAAACTATTCTCTCTCGGATTGGCATCCTCTTCAAACAATTTGCTAAATAAAAGTGATTTTATTGGTCAAATTGTTTCTCTGTGGATAAAAAAAGAAGATTTTAGTTCTAATTCAGTTTGTGCATCAACTCCATAAAATACCATGTATTTTGTATTCAAAATAACGTGTCTGATGCCTTAAAGTTTGCCTTAACTTCTACAGGGATTTTCACGCCCAGTGATGAGCTAGCTAAGGAAGTTGTAGCAGCTTCAAAGGTCTCTGGTGAGAAGTTTTGGAGGATGCCATTAGAGGAGAGCTACTGGGAGAATATGAGATCAGGTGTAGCTGACATGACGAACTCTGGAGGACGTCAGGGTGGTTCTATCTTAGCTGCACTTTTCCTAAAACAGGTTGAGGCTAAAATACCCTTTGAACATTTCATTTTTAATGTTCATTTTCAGGTTAAATTAAAACCTTAATGTTGAATTGCTAAAAACTAAGCATGTTATATATTACTATCTTAATTGACATCTGGGCTCAAAATTCTGCATATGACATCATTCCTTATGAGTTGCATTCATAACTAACAAAACACCATCCCAATATTGAAGAAGCTCCATTGGTAAGTGGAAAGATTGGGGACTTGTCTGGCAATTTTCCAACTATCCTGGTCAAGGGCTAAAACTTTGTTTGGCAAAAACTAGGACAGAATTAAACCAGTTTTTTTAGTTCAAAATTTGTCCGTTAATCCTGTTTAGTTCTGGATCAGGGGGAGGTGGTCCACAACTAAACTGGTTTAGGCCAAAACTGGTTTAATGGTGAGTTGTCAAACTGACCCTAATGCTCAACTTTGATGGCAATAATGGCGATTTTTTAGTTGTTCTTTGAGGTATATGCTTATATTCTTGTTCAGATTTATCGGCAAATATTTTGTACATTGAATTAGTACATTCTAAATCAAGTTCCAGAGATAAACTTCATCATATCTTGTCATTCTGATCTTAAAAATCAAATTCTTTATAACATATGGATCTTAACATTAGTATAACTACAAAAAAAATGCTCTTTATTTACAGTTTGTCGATGAGAAAGTCCAGTGGTTGCACATAGACATGGCGGGCCCAGTTTGGAATGACAAGAAGCGCGCAGCCACAGGATTTGGAGTATCAACACTTGTGGAATGGGTTCGGAGTAACTCTTCTTAGATCAACTCAATGCGTTGTCGAGCTGATTAGCGCTTTCATTATTCGGCATAAAACAACTGCAAATTCTTCTGTTGCAATGAATCCAGTCTTTATGAGCCAAAAGGAATTAGGAGTTTGTGATACTGAAGCTTGTTAGCGACAAATTATTCCCTTCAAGTTATTTTCTTTCTGATATATGGTATGAAAACTTAGGCAGTAGTTGATATTTGTCGACCAATAACAGCACCAGAATAGTTGAAGAAAAGGAACAGGAATGAAGACATTTTGATGATTCTTACTCGGAATAGTTTATCATAACGCGAATTTCATTTTGTTGTCCTCGTTGTTGAAGGACTGGCTTCTCATCGCAATAAAAAATCACACAAGCATATATAACTCTATATATTTGGTGGAAAGCAAATGCATGTGGCCAAATATCTTGGTTGTTTCTTTTGGATTTATTTTTTTATTATGACTTGGTTGTGAAATAGTTTATGTAATATGTTTGGGTTATGTGTAGTCTTTTTGTTCAAATAAAAGAAAACAAATTCAATATTTATTTTCACATGGAGTGAAGATGTATGTGCTCATAAAAAAGCCCTCTGGATGGACACGTTAATGAATGATACAATATGTCGGGAGCAATTACGTCTTAATAGGCGTTGTTTTGAGAAGTTGTGTGTCGTTTTACGATCTAAAGGGGGATTGATGACTTCTAGGAATGTCACGGTAAGAGAAGGTGTGACATTTTTCCTACATGTTATTTCTCATAACTTGAAGAATCGAACTGTTGGAGCGATCTTTTTTCATTCCGGAGAAACTATAAGCCGACAATTTCATACGGTGCTCCGAGCGGTTATGAATATCGGAAAGTATTATGTCAAACAAGCAGAATCCACCACTAGTTATGCGGGAGATAACAAATGGAAATGGTTTGAGGTAATAATAATTTGTTTTTTTTTATATATAGATCGTTCGTGCAAATAGGTAAATCTATATGATGTTATGGGGTTGATTGTTAGGGTGTACTTGGAGCACTTGATGGGACACATTCAAATGACTGTCCCTCTTGAGGATCGACCTAGATATCGAGATAGAAAGGGTGATATCAGCACAAATTGCCTTGTCGTGTGCATCCCAATCTCCAATTTATTTATGTTTTACCTGGTTGGGAAGGATCCGCATTTGATCCGCGCATCCTTCATGATGCTTTGCAGAGGCCTAATGGTTTAAAAGTACCAACAAGTAAGACATTAGCTTGGTGTTTATAGACTTTCCTTTTTAACTAGTTTTTTTCATGTTTAAGCTAAAATGTTTATATTGATGTTGTGGATAATTATTATCTTGTGGATTTGGGGGATTCACCAATAGTTTGGGTTTCTTAGCTCCATACAGAGGCGCTCGGTACCATTTGAATTTGTGGCGAGGGGAATACTCCAATAAATTACAAGGAGCTCTTCAATCCGCGATATCCATCTGCTCGAAATACTATTGAAAGAGCATTTTAAGTGTTGAAGAAACGGTGGGTCATTCTTAGAACAACAAGATTCTTTGACAAAAAGACTCAAGTTAGGATTATAAATGCTTGTTTTATTCTTCACAATTTCATAAGAGATGAAAATATGGAAGAGAATGATTTGTTACGTGAGGTGGACGAGGAGGTTGAAAGTACAAACACATTTGATAGCGACAATGAGGTTGATGTTGTTAGTCTAAGGTGTAGACCCAAAGTTGAGACGAAAGCTGGAATCAAAACGACGAAGAGAACAAGCTGCCAGATCCACGGTCGACCACGAGAACTTGGCGGTCGACCGCGAACGTGCACAGGAGCTCAGGAAGAGCTGGATCCGAAGGCGGTCGACCGCGCCAACCCTGTAGGATTTTTGGTCTCGGGTTTTTGATACGGTCGATCGCGATTGGTGTGCGGTTGACCGCGAGACCTACACGGTCGACCTACACGGTCGACCGCAACGCTATCAAACAGTTTCCTAAACTGTTTTGGATTCTGTTTCTACTAGGACTCTATATATACCTTAAACGTTTTTAGGGTTTGTACAACACGAAAAAGAGAGCTTTTTGACTGTAGAAAGAGAGAGAATCTCAGAGAGATTAAATCCTAGTTTGAGAGCTTGTATTTCTTCTTCAATTAATAAAAAAATTGTGTGGTGTGGCTCCCGAGGACATAGGCACGTTGCCAAACCTCGTTAAATCTGTGTGTTCGTCTCCTTTACTATTTTTGCAAGGTTAGATTTTTATTTATGATATTATTCCTACTTTTCTACTTTCAACACAAGGTTCGGAAGGGAAAGGGTTCGATTGATTGTTTCGAATCCCCAACAACCGGTATCAGAGCTTCGTTCAACAATTTGTGTGAAAGCTATGACAGAGAAAATCAAATCAAAGATCGAGAAGTTTGACGGCTCAGACTTCGCATACTGGAAGTTACAGATGGAGGACTATCTGTATTAGAAGGACTTGTATCGTCCGCTGATGGGCAAGAAAAAGTGACAGAAGAAGGAGGAGTCAGATGGTGATTGGGAGATACTGGATAGAAAGGCTCTAGGGCAAATCCGGTTGTCACTCACCAAATCAGTAGCCCATAATATTTTGAAGGAGAAGACGATGGTGGAGCTTATGGAAGCGCTCGCAAAGATGTACGAGCAACCGTCGGTAGCAAACAAGGTACATCTTGTCAAAACTCTTTTCAACCTCAAGATGGCAAAAGAACGGCCCTTCACAATGCATCTCAGTGAGTTCAACACGATTGTTGATCAGCTTATCTCTGTGGACATCACGTTTGATGACGAAGTGCAAGCCCTATTGATTCTATCGCAGTTGTCGGATAGTTGGGCAGGTTGTGTGACGGCAATCAGCAATTCGGCAGGGAAGGAGAAGTTGAAGCTGAGTGAGGTTGTTAGCATGATTCGATCCGAGGAGGTTAGAAAGAAATCGTCCGAATCAAAAGGTTCAGGTTCAGCTCTAAACTTCGATCAGAGAGGCAGAAGCCAGAAGAAATGAAACCAGAATAGGAATCAATCGAAATCAGTGAAAAAGAGGTTGAACTCGAAGGTTAGGTCTATCAAAGAGAAGTGTTGGAACTGCGGTCAGGAGGGCCATATGTCTTCAGTCTGCAAAAGTCCAAAGAAGGATGCGGGTGAGCAGGAGGCTCATATCGTGCAGGATGTCTTGATCCTTGCTATGGATAGCAACTCGGATTCTTAGGTCATCGACTTAGGAGCCTCTTTTCACACCACTGCTAACAGGAAGCTCTTTCAGAAATATATAGTAGGGGACTTTGGAAAAATATATTTGGGGAACAACGAGCCCTGTAATATTGTTGGAAAGAGAGTGAAGTGCAGATTCAGATGAAAGGCTCTAAGTGGACCTTGAAGAACGTAAGACACGTGTCGAAGCTGAAGAGGAATCTTATTTCGGTGGGACAACTTGAAGCAGAAGGCTATGTTTCAATATTCACAGGGGATTCGTGGAGAATCTCCAACATTACGATGATAGTTGCTCGAGGCAGCAAGCTAGGAACTCTCTACCTCACCTTACATGCGAGTGACACCCTCACAATTGCAGCTGGCAAAGAGAGTACAGATCTGTGGCACAACAGGTTAGGGCACATGAGCGAAAAGGGGATGAAGATTTTACATTCACAAGGAAAGCTAACTAGGATCGACACCATAAAAGTCGGGGTTTGTGAAGACTGCATCTTTGGGAAGTAGAAGAGGGTTAGTTTTCAGAAGGGTGGAAGGCCACCTAAGGCTCAGAAGCTAGAGTTGATTCATACAGATGTATGGGGTCCAGCCAGTGTGTCTTCTTTTGGCGGTTCGAGATATTATGTCACCTTCATCGACGATCATTCGAGGAAGGTGTGGATCCACTTCATAAAGCACAAGTCAGAGGTGTCTGGAATCTTCAAAAAGTGGAAGGCCATGGTGGATAACGAGACAGATCTAAAGGTAAAGTTTCTGAGATCAAACAATGATGAGGAATACGAGCTGGAGGAGTTTAAGAGGTTCTGTGCTATGAATGGTATTCGCTTAGAGAGGACTACTCCAGGGACGCCGCAGCAAAACGACATTGCAGAGAGGATGAACAGAACCTTGACATAGCATGCCAGGAACATGCGATTACATGCAGGTCTGCCTAAGACATTTTGGGCGGATGCGGTGCATACGGCAGCTTACCTTATTAATCACGGGCCATCAGTTCCATTAGATTTTGGGATTCCAGAGGAGGTTTGGAGTGGCAAGAAGATAAATCTCTCACACTTGCGGGTATTTGGTTGTGTGGCTTATGTTCATATAAGTGACCATGTCAGGGACAAGCTAGAAGCTAAGTCACATAAGTGCATATTCATTGGATACGTCATTGATGAGTTCGGGTATTGTCTTTGGGATGAGAAGAATAGGAAGATCATCAGAAGCAGGAACGTGATATTCAATGAGGAGGTGATGTACAAGAACATGAAAGATGCTAAGGATAGCCAAAGCAGTGGGAGCAGCATTTCAGATACAGATGGATCTGAGTACATGGATATAGAGGAACTTCCAGATAGGGGTGATAATGTTTGTTCTGATCAGAGAATGGAGGAGGCTCCAGGTGCAGAAGAAACTACCCAGGGCATGGAGCTTAGGAGGTCATCCAGGGTACCCAAACCAAATCGCAGATATCTTTCATCTCTTGACTATTTATTGTTGACAGATAGCGGTGAGCCGGAGTGCTATGAAGAGGCAATGCAAGTGAGTGAATCTCAGCAGTGGGAGCATGTGATGCAATAGGAGATGGATTCTCTACTCACTAATGAGACATGAGAGTTAGCCCAACTACCTGCACAGAAGAATGCCTTACATAACAAATGGGTCTACCGGGTAAAGCAAGAGAGTGATGGAAGCAAGAGATTTAAGGCCAGATTAGTAGTAAAGGGTTTCAACAGCGGGAAAGAGAGATATTTTTCCCTGTTGTGAAACTCATAACCATCAAAGTAGTGTTGAGTTTGGTGGCTGCAGAAGACCTCTTTCTTGAGCAGTTAGATGTGAAGACTGCCTTTCTTCATGGTGACTTGGATGAAGAAATCTACATGCAGCAGCATGTTGGCTTCATTGAAGAAGGAAATGAAGAGATGGTGTGCAAGCTCAAGAAGAACTTATATGGTTTGAAACAGGCTCCGAGATAGTGGTATAAAAAGTTTGATAACTTCATGCAGAACAATGACTACAAAAGATACAATTCGGATCATTGCTGTTATTTCAAAAGGTTCGAGTCCAGCTTCATTATTTTGTTATTGTATATTAATGACATGTTGGTAGCAAGACCGTGTTTGGAGGAGATAAACAGTTTGAAGAAGCAGCTAGCAAAGGAATTTGTAATAAAGGATTTGGGTGCAGCGAAGCAGATTCTAGGGATGCGAATAAGTAGGGATGAAGCTGAAGGGACATTGAGATTGAGCCAAGCTGAATACAT